GACGTCCAGCTGTTGTATATGCTGCTCCTGCATAATGCGTACCTGCTCCTGGTACTCCTGGAACTGTCTTTGACGATGTTGCTCCTCTTCTTGTCGACGCTCCTCTTGTTGCTGCTGCGTTGTCTCCCAACGGCGTTGTTGCTCCTGTTGCAACTGAACAAGACTCGTTAAAGCTGTCGCCAACTGCTCCATCGCTTCTCCTCTGCTTGTACTGTCTTCCACTTGCTCTAAATCTAGCTCGTTTGACTCCTCCGTCTCAAGTAAGAACTGTTTCTCTCCTGTTTCTCTCCTTGATGTAGGCGGTCCTCGTAACTGCCTTGCGTAGTCCTGACTCGGTACGTCCCGTAGCAAATACTGAGTTCTTTCTCCTCTGCTGCGGCTTGACATAGAAAGACAACTTCAACAATACAGTGTTGTCTTTGCTCCTCTAGTTGATTAGTGGGTCTTTCTCTGCTGCTGTTTGAGATATCCCACCGCTGCCACCAAATGTAACGCGCCCGAGCTAGATTTCTCTCTTTACAGTGAAAAATTCTCTTTAAACAAAAGACTCTCTCTCAATCACTCGCTCTACCTTAAATAACAAAACTAAAAAGACTAATCAGTGACATACATTTACACATAACTTCACATTAACACATAAAACAGCCCTAGAATGTCTACACATACAATATAATTGTCTAGTCAGATCAATGGTCAGATTGATCTTCTTCGTTAGCACTCCACAGTTAATTAGAGGGAGAATGTGTTTAAATGAGAGAGAGTCATGTAATGCAAGCCTGCCTAACTAAAGACCTTACTGTTGGCATGAGTGTAGCACATGTACATTATAGTGCTGGGAATATAGTTGTATTTATGTGTACATGTAATATGTAGGATGGGGGAGAGAAAGCTGAGTGAGAGAGAGGATTAAATTAAAGCGAATTAAAGGAAATTAATACAAGTATATAGATTTGGCAGTCATGTTACACACATGCTCTAGCCTATCACATAACAGAGGCAGTATCTGATAACAATACTATACTAGGATGATGTTAAAAACATTATGGGGCGAGCACGAGCGAGCTTTGTGAATTTATGTGAAAATAATAAGTTATTACAATTTTGATACTTCATTTCAAGTTGTCAATGACAAAAATGAACAAAACCAAGTTATTACATGTAGTTGTGTCACTGGATCAACTTTTACCTTTGGTTGAGTTTAGCCTACTCTCTTTATTAATTGCAGCTTATATTCTATATCTTTGAAATGAGGATTTTGTAATAAAATGACTTGAAAATCTTCATTGTCTAAAAGAGCCTGCTGCTTTAACTTTGAGAGCTTTTTACACAGTCACTGACTTGCAAATGCCATCAGTCTGATGGCATTTGCAAGTCAGTGTAAAAAGTTCTTAAAGTTAAAGCAACTGCATGGCGCTTTCTACTGTATTCTACATCTGATGTAGAATACAGTAGAAAGATTGCCAGTTTAGTCAAGTCAGAGTCAGAAACTGACATTTGCTTGACTTTTACAGTTTTCTTATGCTATTATGTCAACAAAAAGGAGTTTCGTAGTTACTTTATTGCATCTTTCCCCTTCTTAAGCTCATGACTTCTTCCCGTGTGTTGATTGCCATTTTATTTTGCTGCAGCCACTCCCACTTTCAATGGGAATATTGAAATTTAGAATCTATTGCATTGCTAATACATGTGCTATCACGGATATATAGAGGAGATACGGAATACGTACATGTACATACATATACTATATCCCAACTGAGTTTGACACCAGCCGCTTGGAATTTGAAAAATGTAGGTATACGTCACTGATGACGTCTTATAATGATATTCATAGAAGCATGGCCGACATTTTACAGCTGCATAGTTGGCCTGTATTGCACTCTTAAAAAGGTTTTGTTTGTTCTGATAAGCAGTACAATAGCTGCTGGAGTCAACTAGTCTTTATACAGGCAATCATTATCAGAAGATCTTGCTCTGTTAGCTTTTAAAAAGAAGAATTATCAGTTTGGGCGCTCGACCACATGTTCTTATGTAAACTATGACGTAGATAAATTGTCATAAAACGTCATTTTGGTATGCCATTGGGTTTATAGGGAGAACCCGGTTCTCAGGGTTCCCAAGGGCTGAGAGACCCAAGACCTGAGATCCTGTGATGGCATTGGGCAAATAAGAACCTGTGAAAGTCTCATCCTTATCCCACATTCCTATAAAAAGTTATTCCAGTTTTTCTTGGGTCAAACTCAGTTGGGATATAGTATACATACATACAAACAAACAAATGCTGCTCGTCTTAGTGGGGCTCGCCCATGCTCGCCCCAATAACAGATATACCAATATCATCCACACACACACATCTATTCCTGTTACACTAAATGAGCCAATGATACTTGTATATACCACATAAACATGTACCTATCACATTACCAGTCTATAATGAGATTTTACACAGAAATGGGCTACAACACACAGACTGTCACTGTACATTAATTAGCATGGGACTATGTATGCATGTGTATACATCTAGAGTGGTTGCTTTGGGTGAGTCAGACCAATTATAATACATTAGTGAGTTTAATAACATCATGTACCCACAAGCTTCCACCACTGAGTGAGCTGTGTAGTACATATGCTACTAACAAATATACATTGTAGGCAGTGGCTATTTTTAAAGTCTCATAATCCCACTGTGGGTGGCTATTGTTACTGCAAGATGATTTGCACATTTTAAGACCTAAAGGATACTCTAAAATAAAACTAATAAACCCTAAACCAGCCTTGAGGACTCTTAACATACCGCCTAATTGCTCTAAAAAACCTCCACCCTAATCCCTTAACCCTAGAACAATAGCTAACTAGGGGACTCCTAACATAACTACAGGACATAGCTAAGTAGAAAAGGTAAAAAAAGTTCAATTTTTAAAAGTAAAACATGAAAAAAAAATTGGCAATAGATTTTCAACAGCCTGAACTGGATTCCAACCAGTGCCCACATCCACATGAGCCTGCTGCCTCAATGATGCTGATTGTCATATTTATACTTTATCTCTATATTACAATTCATTTCTATATTCTGTCATAAAAATAGCAATGTACAGTGAGATTACAGGTCCGTAAAAATTAATAGCCACCAAACAAAAAAAAAATAACTAGCCCAATAAATGAAGAAGCCTCCACTGTAGGCATTGTAGGGTTTACATACATAAAGGAATAACACAAGCAATAGAAATGCTGTAAATCCTACTTTGATGTGCAACCAACAGGAGCCAACGGAAGCTACATATGTACACTAAAGCAGAAACCTACATGTACACTAGAATCACAAACACTACAGAAACACTGACAATACAGAATATATCAGTGATAGTTAACAGAATGATGATTGGATACCAATGACAACAGAACTCAGATGGTAAGTATAATATCACACAGTAATCAATAGCATAATCAATTATTCACATCAATAGGCATGTAATTGAGGAAGAGAGAATACTGTCTGTTTACCCATACATGTATGTCAATCAAAAACACACACACCATACCACACAATCAATGAATCATTCAACTGTCCTAATGGTAAATAATAATCTGTCACATCATACAGAGATGTTATCATTGTCTCCTAATTTCATGCATAGTAAGACTCAGAGTATATTTTGATCCTGGCCACCCTTTCTTCATAATAATAATAATAGTAAAAATAATAATAATAATAATAATATTCTCTGCTTTTGCTTATACTCATTCTGCACTATACCAATCCTGTACATTAATCTTTAATACATTAGCTTACAATGTATGTATGTGTGTGTGTGTATGCATGGTTGTGCATGTGTGTGTGGGTGCATCAATTGCCACAACAAATCACTACAACAGAACAAAGGAGGACAGAGTAAATTGATATGGTAGTGAGTAGTGTAAAATTACAATGTACAATGCATTAGTGGATCTAGACCCAGGCAAGCCCGGGTAGATTTTACAACACCCAGTGGTGTGGTTTGGTTATAATAAGGGTTGGGTTGAATGATAATACTGTTATACCGTATAGCGGAAAATATTCATGGCCCAAAAATTTCGCAGATCCATTCAAAAATAAATTTTGTGGCTTTAATTTTTGTGGTTATCTACTTTCAGCCATCCTGAACTGTATTAAATCAATTTTCGTGGATTTTATTGATGTGAATTTTGAAAAAAACGTGAAATCCACAAAAATTACCTGCTATATGGTAATCTTATCACATTACATGTGAACAACCACAAACCACCAGTAATAAAAATATACTGTAGTATTTTACTGTATAAATGCCTGGTCCAAATAAACACCTGTCATTAATATATTCTAGCTATAAATACGCATATTTCTACCAAAAATAATGCCCCACTGCTTAGATAGCTCCAAAGTGCTTATTAATTAGAGCCTGGTCTGAATTGCTCAGAGTTGTGGGTTCTGTCCCGCTTGAAGTATCTTTTTATTTTTTTCAATGAAATTTTTTGCTGCTAAGAAATAAACACCCAGGCATTTAATCGGTAAAATATGGTACATAGTTTCTGCAGCAGGTGTGGAAGTCTTAATGGGGAATAATTAACTATTTGGCCACACCCTTCATGAATATTAATGAGCTTGGGTAGTCTTGGAATCCTAGATCTGTCTATGGTACAATGTACGTAAAATCAAATTTAATGACCAATACACACACATACATGTACATGGGTGCACATTATGTGAATGTGATTACAATACTGTGTGACCTACATGAAATACATGTATATGTACATGTATCTTCATAAATAATAAAAATGTGCAAAGAGACTAATAATGGGGACCATAATACTAGACCATGTATATTGTTAAAGATATGAATGTGATGTCTATATAACATGAATGATATTGCACTGGTGATGACAATTATGAAATAGGAACAATAATAAAGCAACAACAATAATATATTGTACATGCACATGTATACATGTAATGTATTTTTTCTTATTAAAAACTAGTAAAAAGAGTGAAGAAAAGTTATGACAAAGGTTAGGGAGGAATAAGACTATTACTATTATTGTTATTACACAAACAAGCCTAACAGAAAATAAATGCATTGCATACATCATTAGTATGTACAAAGTATGCATTCATGTACATGTTGGTACTTACTTGAGTATGGGCGTGAAGGTTGTGGTGGGTATGAGTGAGGAGGAATAGAACGAGAAGAAGAGGAACTACTCTCTCCTCCTTCTCCATCTTGCTTGTGCCTACTGGAAGCATGTGGCATTCTTAAATGAGCACCTTCACTTTGGGACTTCCCTTTACCAGGTAACTGATCATGACGGGATGACCTGTACTCTGGTTTAGTAGGCGTTGGTGTTGTCACATGAGGGTGACCCGAGAAATCGTG